GGCTCACCACAACCTCCACCTCCAGGGTTCAAATGATTCTCTTGCCTCAGCCTCCCAAGTAGCTAGAATGACGGGCACCTGCCACCACGCCCAGCTAATTTTTGTATTTTTAGTAGAGACAGGGTTTCACCATGTTGGCCAGGCTGGTCTCAAACTCCTGACCTCAGGTGATCCACCCGCCTCGGCCTCCCGAAGTGCTGGGATGACAGGCATGAGCCACTGTGCCAGGCCCTGTTATCTGACTTTCTGTATGCAGAGCTGATGGCAGGCTATTCCCACCTCACCCTGTTCTAGACCCAACAATATGAAGCTCAAAAGGCTGAGGATATAGAGGGTGAGGTGGAAACTTGGACTTCTGGCGCAAGGATAAGTGACCCACCCTAGGCAGAAGAGGCTACGGCTCCTCCCGCCCCGTATTTCATCCACAGCCCTGGCTGAAAAAGAAGTGTAGGGAGTTGGGAGGGAACAGTCGAGAGTCTGAGAGAAGTAAGCTGTTATGTAAGGGTCTGACCTGGCTGCTTGCCATGAACCCCTGACTTGCTTCCCCTCGAAGCCCTCCTTATAAAAAGTCTTCCCTGGTGTCCAGCCTCTTGCCCCTGTGCGGCCATGGTGGGCTCCCCTCGGACAGACAGCATTTTGTCCCTGAATTGCTATGAGAGGGATAGAAGAGGTGGGATTCCTACCTCTTTTTCTGCCCTAGGTTTCCATTCCTGTGGACTTGGATACTGTTGTGGGGGAAGGTTGGGGAGGAGGGAGGTGCGAGGTCCCTAGAGCCTGGGACTTTGATGAGCCGGGTCCTCGCCTGTCCCTGTGTCCAAGCGAAGGGATCAGGGCCAGAGGGAGGTGTGGCCACTGCCCTTTGATTCGGGAGATGAAAGGGAGTTGTGTGGCTGTCGTTGAGCTCCAGGACTGGCCAATGCCACAACATGGCTAATCTGCTGGTCCGTCTGTTTTCTCTGCTGGAAGGGCGTTGAGAGCCGGTCTGGTTCACCCCTTCAGATGCTGAGAGAGAGAGAGAGAGAGAGAGAGAGAGAGAGAGAGGAGAGCGCGCGCGTGTGCCAGAGAGGTCATGTGACCTGGCCAAGTCACACAGCAAGTTACAGAAGGAGCCAGGCTAGAACCAGGTCTCTTGATTTCCTGTCTGTGGCCTTTCCCCTACACTACAAGCCTCTTCTTCCAGAAAGCAAGTGATGGAAAAATAACAAACAGCCAGAGCTAAAGGGCCACAGAAGCAAACATGAGAAGTGTTCTGAAAAAATGTGGACCGGTTCTTTTTTTATACATCTCAGAGATCTTACTTGCAGAGAGAGGGATTTAGGATCGATGGAATCAGGATCTTCTTGGAAGAAGCGGGGGATGAGGGATGTGACCAGGACCAGGCAGGAGGGATGGATGGTGGGGAGGTTGGGGGAGATAGCCTCCCCAGCTCCCCCTGCTTCTTCTTGCTTATCATATTTTATATCCATACTTTACAGATGAGAAATCAGGCTCAGAGGCTTGTCCAAGGTCGTAGGGTCAGAAGGAGGCATGGAGACCAGGAATTGATTAATTGAAACAGGGTCTCACTCAGTCCCCCAGGCTGGAGTGCAGAGGCGTGATCACGGTTCACTGTAGCCTCGACCTCCCAGGTTCAAACAGTCCTCCTGCCTCAGCCTCACAAAGTGCTTGGATTACAGGCATGACCCACCACTCGCGGCCAGACCTAGAATTAATTAATTAATTTGAGACAGAGTTTCACTCTTCTTGCCCAGGCCAGACCGCAATGGCGTGATCTCGGCTCACTCCTGGGTTCAAGCAATTCTCCTGCTTCAGCCTCCTGAGTAGCTGGGATTACAGGCGCCCGCCACCATGCTCAGCTAATTTTTTTGTATTTTTTAGTAGAAACAAGCTTTCACCATGTTGGCCAGGCTAGTGTTGAACTCCTGACCTCAGGTGATCCGCCCGCCTCGGCCTCCAAAAGTGCTGGGATTATGGGCGTGAGTCACCCTGCCAGGCCCAGACTTGGAATTTAAATAGAGCTCTGCTAGATGACAGAGCCCCAGCTTTAACAGCTGTCCTCTCCCATCATCTTGTCTGGTCCAGGAGCTGTCTAGCAGGGTTGTGGAGAGGCAGCAAGGGGAGCAGGGAGAGCAATAGGCGGCTTTGGAGGGCTCCATCTTCTCTCCAATCAAAGGTACCTGGGGCTGGGCACAGTGGTTCATGCAGTAACACCAGCACTTTGGGAGGCTGAGGTTAGAGGAATGCTTGAAGCCAGGAGTTTGAGACCAGCCTGGGCAACAAACAAAGTGAGACCTTGTCACTATTAAAAATTAAAAAAATGGCCGGGCGTGGTGGCTCAAGCCTGTAATCCCAGCACTTTGGGAGGCCGAGGCGGGTGGATCACGAGGTCAAGAGATCGAGACCATCCTGGTCAACATGGTGAAACCCTGTCTCTACTAAAAATACAAAAAATTAGCTGGGCATGGTGGCGCGTACCTGTAATCCCAGCTACACAGGAGGCTGAGGCAGGAGAATTGCCTGAACCCAGGAGGCGGAGGTTGCGGTGAGCCGAGATCGCGCCATTGCACTCCAGCCTGGGTAACAAGAGCGAAACTCCGTCCCAAAAAAAAAATAAAAATAAAAAATAAAAATAAAAAAAATTAGCTGAGTGTGGTAACAAGCGCCAATAGTCCCAGCTACTCGGGAGGCTGATGAGGAGAGATAGCTTGAGCCCAGGAGGGTGAGGCTGCAGTGAGCGGTAATGGCACCACTGCGCTCAAGTTTGGGCAACAGAGCAAGACTGTCTCAAAAAATAAAAAAGTGGCCGGGTGTGGTGGCTCACACCTGTAATCCCAGCACTTTGGGAGGCTGAGGTGAATCACGAGGTCAGGAGTTCAAGACCAGCCTGACCAACATGGTGGAACGCTGTCTCTACTAAAAATACAAAAATTAGCTGGGCATAGTGGCGGGTGCCTGTAATCCCAGCTACTTAGGAGGCTGAGGCAGGAGAATCACTTCAACCCAGGAGGCAGAGGTTGCAATGAGCAGAGATCGCGCCACTGCACTCCAGCCTGGGCAACAGAGCGACACTCCATCTCAAAAAATAATAATTAAAATAGTGCATAGGTTTGGTGGGGGTGAGGTGGGATGGGGTGGGCATCACACTCTGTCTCACTCTCACAAGCATCCTCTAAAGGGGATGTTGAGAGCTTGCCTTATCTTCTTCCTCTGCCTCCAGCTGGAACAGCCCTCACCTCTCAGAGCCTAAAAAGAATTTCTTATTGTGGAATGTTCCCAGAGAAGGAGATTTCTTGATGTTCAAACTCCAG